ACTCTATTTTTCATAGGTAAAGAAACTGAAGTTTGGAGAGGTGAAGAAAACTGAACCAAGATGACACAACTGGTAATTGGTACTATTTATTTGGTAGTAACTGTATTGACAGGACATGAGCAGTTGAACTTCTGATGATCTATCTATATATATAAAAGCCTAAGCGACCGAACGACCAGTCAACTGGTCGCTATGATGTGCACTGACCACCAGGGGACAGACGTTCAATGCACAGGATCGGGCTCCCTCCTGTCTGGATCGGGACTGCGGGGATCGGGCCGAAACCAGCTATCTGACATCTCCCAAGAGGTTCCGGATTGCGAGAGGGCGCAGGCCAGGCCAAGGGACCCCATTGGTGCACGAATTCGTGCACTGGGCCTCTAGTTGATAATATTTGCAAACTCAGTTTAACTAAAACAGTGATGACTAATTAGCAAAAGCTTCTCAAGTGATAAGGCATAGAAAGGAAAGAGTTTTGATGCTTAAAATATGACTTATTTGAAACAAGTGGAGGGACACGGCAGAAATCCACATAGTTAGGGGCACTTAAATCAGTGCTGAGTGTTTACTGCCTATCCATAGAGACCACTCCCTTAGCACCTTAAAGCAACTCCTTGTCATATCCAACAACATTTCCCACATACAGTGGTCAGGACGGGCACAAGAAGTTTTCTGACTGTCTCAACCTCTAGAAGTTAGATAAATACCAAGAGTTTCTGTTTCGTTAATGAACGAATAATTCAGAGGTCCTGTTTTCAACAAACCTGAAGAATTCAGGCAGATGGTTGAACCTCATTTTGCCTTATCCAACTAAGCCCTAAAACCAACTGCAATCTATCTTGGACTTTTTTCAAATGATCAGTAAATAGACTTATTTATAATCTATGAATCTAAAGGTAATACCACTAATTTGCCAAAGAAATAATATAAACATAATAATAAGCCTGATAAAAAACATTGCCAAAATTACAGCAAAGCACATGCCTAAATACAGCCTTTTCCTCTCAATTATATGCCTTCAAGAAATTAATCAACCACAATTTAAAAAATGAAATTAATCAGCTACAGAAACCAAAAACTATTTGAAAGTATTCGCTTTAATTGAGCACAACAGCTGAGAGATGCTTACCCTTAGAATCAATAACACCAACAATCCAGTTTGCACAAACCGTCAGAACTAGATGTGCTAGCTTAACCACAATGTAATAGTAAAGCCATATCAAAAGCAAAATCCTTTTTTCAAACCAAAAGCTAACTTAATCTTAAGGAGGATTTCACAGCAGTTAGTCTCTTGAGGAAATACATAATTAAGTAGTTTTTTAGCATATTTAATTAGACCCCAAACTCTTCCCTGTCCTCTTCTCTCCCCAATTATGTACCATTTGCCCAAGAGACCTAAGCAACTCAGTTAATTATGTAAATAAGGCAAGCATTATTCCCAAGAAAAGCATTGTGAATAAATATAGGGGGAAAAACCTACATATTTTAGTGGCTTTAACAAACGTTTGAAAAATACATGGGAAAACCTTACATTTGAGGTAAAAAGCATGGTGTTCAATGACAAGACGGTGAATCATTTTAAAAGGACACTCATTTCACTTCTTAAATATGAGCTGAATAAAAATAAAATAATTTTAAGTTACAACAGCAACAAAAATTTAGTGCTGAACATCAAATGATTTATGGGAAGAATCAATCTGGAAATTATTAAAGTTGACTCTCACAGAAAAGGCTTTATTATCAAGGGGTTGACATGATCTTAACTCCAGAGGCAGCCATGGTGCTCTTGTAACTACTACAATCCCATTATTATGCAATCACAAAATGCTAATTTGATCATTTTGAGGTGTTATTTGAATAGTCATTTTAATTTCTAGGTTACAAAAAGGCTTGACTCAAGTATAATTCTCTATTAATCATTGAGATGTCATTGAATATCATATTGATGCATTTCACAAAGATAAAGAAAGACTAATTTAATATGTACAGTACAATATCCTTCAAATATTAGCCACTTTCATTACATATCTGCCAAATGCATCAATATTAAATAATAGATGAGAACAAGGGTTTAATTATATTTTAGCAATTGTAATATGTAGGGTAATAATAAAATAGCATCTCATCACAAGATAGACTTATATAAATCTTTCTTAATCAATGTGTAATGGTGACTGCCCCACATTCTTTGATCACAAAGAGACTTGATATGACAAAAGCATCCAGAGTCTTAAGTGTAAACACACATCTAGCAAAAATAATTCCTTTGTGACTGAAGAAATGGCTTCTTTACATTTTTTAAAAATTTCTCCTTGTTACTTCAGAAGTTAGATAAATACCAAGCAGAGATCACAACCTTCTGACAAATTCAAACCTAAATATTTATATAAAAGAATCGAATAGTATGATGATGATGACAATTCTAGAATATAATATTTTAAAAGATCTGTGCTATTCTGTTGGCATCAAAGCATTACCACATATTAATTATTCCAGCAATTACATTCTCAAACAATGAGGTGGTTTCAGGCAATGGAAGAAAATAAATTCCAACCATGTAACCTAACCCGGTAACTTCTCACATATCTAAATGAATCAACTTAGTATTTAAGAAAAAAAAATCCTCTACAGCCCAACATGCCATTTTCCAGAGGCTGACATTCTTGTCCCCTAGGGGGACCCTTCCTTCTCTTTGTTGCATTCCACAAGAAGAAATAGGAGAAGGCAGTAGGGCAGGCTTAAAGAGAAGCTTTACATCAGTCAACACAATCTCTAATTTACTAAAAGTACTTTTATGAGCATATTATTATCTTTATGTTACCTATGCATTTTGTTTTCAGTTCTTGTTCTCCTTCCCCACCAACATCAATAACCTCACATGCTGATGGCCATATATGCTCACTTAAGCCTATGGAAACATGCTGCATTGTATGAGGTAAAAGTGTTTTGGGTTTTTTAATATATATTTTTATTGATTTCAAAGGGGGGGGAGAGAGAGAGAGAGAGAAATATCAACGATGAGAGAGATTCATTGATCGGCTGCCTCCTGCATGCTCCACACTGGGGATCGAGCCTACTATCTGGGTATGTGCCCTGACTGGGAATCAAACCGTGACCTCCTGGTTCAGAGGTCGATACTCAACTACTGTGCCATGCTGGCCAGGCAGGTAAAAGTGTTTTGAAGAGAAAACATCTTGCTCAAAGATGACAACTGACAGAAGCAGCACATAACCAGAACTTGAATATGAAAAATGCAAACATAAGCAAAGAGCTGTATGTTTATTAATTGCAATGGTGTTGAAATAAGACAAATTGTACACAACCCCTCCAGGCAACAAGCTATCACTCAGCACCCCTACGCCACTGCCAGACAGCAAACATAATGGCAATAAATATAAAAATCAACTGCTACTGTCTTCTGAAAGAGGCCCAGCTCAGCACAGAAACACAGAATGGCAGGGAATGGAGCAGGGAGTTGGGGGTGCACATGAAACTATACTCCACCTAAAATAGTGGCCATTTTGCTAAAAAGAAAATAAACTAATGTTACAATTGTGAATTATTATAAGAAAAGTCCCCTGCACAGCACGTGTCAAAAAAGATTCCCTACAATGAAATACTGACAAGCAAAGCAATGGCCTAGAATTCTGAAATGAACCTCTAAGCTTAATAATTCCTATAGTTATAATACAGCATCAGACAAGACAATGCTGCCTCCCAGAACCACTTTCAAGGCTTTCCCAACACAATTAGACCTTGATTAATCACAACCCAACTAACCCAAACCCTCAAGTACACTTAGGAAATAAAAAAAGAAAACAAACAAACAAAACACAGATACATATCTCAGGACTGGTTTTGTTTTAATCTTTCTAAACATATTACTACGGAAACAACATTAAACCCAGTTCACACCTTTTTACATTCTCAAAAAATATGAGTGACATTCTATAATTATCTGAGTCATTTTTTAAACCCCAAATCTAATAATAACATAATAATACCAATAATTCCACTTGATTGAGGTTTTTACTTAGAGCAGTGATTTTCAACCTTTCCCATCTCATGGCATACATAAATTAATTACTAAAATTCTGCAGCACACCAAAAATATATTTTTTGCCAATTTTCAAAAAAATAGATATAATTTTGATTGACTTACAAAAACAGATATAATAATGATGATTGCCTACGCTTTTTGCTCCAAAGTGACTTTTTAAAAACCAGGTGCCTATGCCCAGCCAATGTAGCTCATGAGTGTAGACACATGAACCAGGAGGTCCCAGTTCAATATCTGGTCAGGGCACATGCCCAGGTTGCGGGCTCGTTCCCCAGTGTGGGGCATGCAGGAGGCAGCCGATTGATGATTCTCTCTCATCGTTGATATTTCTCTCTCTCTCTCCCTCTCCCTTCCTCTCTCTGAAATCAATAAAAACATTTAAAAAAATAATCAGGTGTATAAAAGAATTGTATACAAGAATTTCTGGTACCAAGAATTAACCAATCAGACCAACCTTATTATGCAATGTGACCAACAAGATGCAACTCTATCATATAACCTATAAATTTATGGTTCAAGATAGGGCTTTTACACCAGAAGGCTATTGTTGTGTTGGCTGTTGTCTTTTTGACAACCTAAGGGAAAAGAGGTCAGTGCCCCTGACTAAGTAGTCAGGTATTACATGTTTCAAAAATTCTTGCAACACACTGGTTGAAAATCACGGACTTGCCCTGGCTGGTTTTGCTCAATGGATAGAGCGTCGGGCTGTGGACTTAAGGGTCCCAGGTTCCATTCTGGTCAAGGGCACATGCCCAGGTTGCGGACTCGATTCCCAGTGGGGGTGGGGAGGTGTACAGGAGGCAGCCAATCTATGATTCTCTCTCACTGATGTTTCTATCTCCCTCTCCCTCTTCCTTCCTCTCTGAAATAAATAAAAATATATTTTAAAAAAGAAAGAAAATCACGGACTTAAAAGACACAAAGTTTTATTTTTACTTACCTTGCCATCGAATTTGGAATACTCATTAAAGGGGTTATTCAGCTGCAGAGGGCACTGCTCTAGGCGTACAGATAATATTGACTGCTTTCCAGAACTTGGAGGTTTCTCTTTGAGGGACTTTTTTTCAAACAGTGACTTTAACTCTTGGGCTGTGATACAAGAGGAAGATAGAAACATCTTTGTGATTACACACAGAAAGACAGCCAGTGCACCTTCCCTAAAAATTCTTTGGAACCTTAAGGAGGGTCCAGGGACATATTCAGGTCTGATGTGTGGAAAAAAAGCTTCATATACACTTCAATAAAAAACACACAGGTCAGGATTGTTAATTCAACTAGGGTTTAAGGACCAGGTTGGGTGTGGAGTGGGGTGGGAGGGATAGAGTCAGACAAACCAACAAAGCAGCCATTCTTTAAGAAGTGCATTCACAGCTAGAGGACCTAAGCTTTCGCCTGGCTTTGCCACTACCAGGTGTGTAATCTGGACAATTCACTAGACCTTTCTGGGCTTGTACAACTAGATAATTTTGAAGATCTCTCCTGACTCTAATATTCTGTGATTTTGGAATTATAGTTCCTCAAGGTCAAGGTCCACATCTTAATCCTCTCACACTCTCCAATGTCACCTACCACAAAAATCTGGAAGACAAAGCTGATGAGGAAAAGGAGAGTCCTATATAATAAAAGGCTAATATGCAAACTGACAGAATGGCGGAACGACGAGTCGCTATGACGCACACTGATGCTCAACACAGGAGCTGCCCCCTGGTGGTCAGTGCACTCCCACAGGGAGAGCACCGCTCAGCCAGAAGCCAACTCATGGCTGGCAAGCCCAGAGGCGGGGAGTGGGCCTAAGCCGTTAGTCAGACATTCCCCGAGGACTCCTGGGCTGCCAGAGGGATTTCTGACTGCCAGCTTAGGCCTGATCCCTTGGGGAGTGGACCCAAGCCGGCAGGTGGACATCCCCCGAAGGCTCCCAAATTGCAAGAGGGCACAGGCCAGGCTGAGGGGACACCGCCCCAAGTGCACGACTTTCGTGCACTGAGCCTCTAGTATTATAATAATAGTATGGAGGGTTCATTATGCCACTCTCTCTACTTTTGTATATGTTTAAATTTTCTATAATAAAAAGTTGTATTAAAGGAAATTTAAGCTAAAAATAAAAAAGTAGGTAACATATCACATTACTACTTGATCAAATCACTTTGCTGAGAGTTAAAATTAAATTTCTTACAAGATCTTGCATGATCAAATTTCTTACTACTTACACCTCTGATTCCACTCTTCCCCTTACTTACTCTACTCCAACCAATAAGCATCCTTTCCTTGCTATTCCTTGTATACATCAGGGACACTTCTGCCACAGAAACTTTAAATTTGCTGTTCGCTTGTCTTAGAACACTCATCTCCAATATCTGCGTGGTTCACTCCTTCTCTGCTCAACCATCACCTTCCCAAAGAGTCCTTTCCTGCAACTGAGGCATGTGCCCTTGACTGGAATGGAACCCGCGACCCTTCAGCTAGCTTGCAGGCCAACACTCTATCCACTAAGCCAAATCGGCCAGGGTGAAAGATTTTTAATATATATAAAAGAATATATAGGAAATCATAGAAATGAGATGCAAAAAAGAGAAGTCAGTGGGATTTCTGGTTCTACAGGGTCATGATTTAGAAGCAACCATTATGAAAATCAGACCCACTGAGCACACTCAGGTTTACAATCACAGGAGAAAGCACGAACCACTTTACATAGTGTGGTTTAGCAGAGAGAGACTGGCCTTTAGAGGCAGACAGTGCTAGATGCAAAACATGGCTCTGTACTGCACTACCACTTCCTAGTCTTGGAACTTTAGCAAGCTTAATCTCTCTGAGCCTCCATCTCATCTGTCTCATCTAATCAATGATACCTACACCTTAAAAGATCAGTACATTGGAGGTAATGCAGAAGAACTGCTTAGAACAGCACTAGATAGGTGTTGGTGATAATTAGTAATCATTAAGATTGTTAGTTTTATAACAGTTTATAGCAATGGAGTCAGTCAACAAAAACTATTGGACATTTATTAAATGCAGGGTGGTAATGGGAGGTGCTGGGAAGGTATAGAAGGCAGACTGCAGACATTTCTTTGAAAGGAGAAAAAAAGTCTAGGAAACATTATATAAACATTAGAAAATATTTTAATAGCACTTTATTTGGAATTTTTTAAATGGCTTCTCTTATTGAGATTAAAGCTTTGAAAATACATAATATGGCCAGCTTCTTAATACATTATCATATGAACATATACTGCATATGCTAATAATACCACTAACATAATGGTTTTTAAGCTAAAGGAAAGAATTCGCATATATGCAACAGAGATTGTTTCTGGGGCCATAATAAGGCAAGATAAAGTCTAGGTTAGAACTGCCAGGAGAAATCTACAGCCCATACAAATCATAGGTTCTCCTTGGCTCTAAGAACAAGGTACTAGCACGACAGTGTTTACAAAATGTGCCTGTGACCCAGACCGAAGAGTGGCACCCAAATGAAGAGTTCAAATCTCAAAACACAAGAGGTATCCACCCAGAGGGTTGAAAAGGATGAATTAAAAATAAAAGCTCTTATATAATAATATACACCAAATATATAACTTTCAAATTAACAATGAAAATTATTTCCATTTACCTGATTGCTTAGAATTTCTTTCTTTCCACTGAATATTTTTGCATTTGATTTGGTTTTGCCTCTCTTTTCGAAGTCGTTCTAATCTTTGAGCTTGAAAAGAAATATTATAACTATAAGTTTGTCAATGAAAGTTTACTATAAACAAAGACATAATTAACTACCTTTATATGAATAAAGATGTTTTATATTGTATATGTAGGAAAAAAGTCATAAAATTTTAAAGGTGGCACCCCTGAAAAGCAAATACCAACAAAAACATGAAAATATTCTTGATTTATAATTGAAATTAGAGGATATAAAACATTAATAGAGATCATAAAGATAGTATTAACATGGAAGAGAATAATAAAATGTGAAAACTTCTGTGATTAATATGACATTTCATTATATAAATCATTAATAACGGTCTTAAAGGAATTTTAATGCACAAATGAACTGAAGTGAATATTACATTACAGGAATAAAATTACTGTTATGAATTACTCTACCCGTTTCAAAAATTAAAGATAAATGAACTCAGACTAGACTATTAAAGTTTTAAATATAAAATCCTTTATCTAAAAATCATGAAAATTATAAAATGTCAAAGCTATATAAATTAGCATAGCTTTTCTTCAGTGGGCTGAAATAGTTTATAGGTAGTAAAATAAATGATTTGTATCTTTGTAACATTAGTCAAATCTTAAAAAGAACAATTTTTCTTATACAAAATTTTAAGATATGCTGAAAGGATTAAAAAGTAAATACCTTGGTCACAGGACACCCCACAATCTTAATTATATAAGTGCTATCTTAAGAAATTCCAACAACAATAACAAATCACACCTAAAATTATGCATTTGTGATTATATTACCACAGGCTGATTACCACAGGCAAAATCAGTTGAACCAATCTTTTAAATAATATTGTCCACATATATTAACAACATCCATACGGACCACAATGGAAAAGAAAGTCACAATTAATGCAATCTCTTAAAATTAGTTTCCTATTGCACTTCCTATTGTGACACAATGCTAACAAAAAAATAAATAAGTAAATTTCTCAAAGGCAGGAAATCATACACTCCTGCCTTAACACTGTGGTAGGGAAACACAAACTAATCTTGCCAGAAATGTAAGCTATACTGGCAAAAGCATTCTGACAATGCCACTATATCTAACCAAATCCCACTCCATTCAATTGCAATTAATAAATGTGAAGCGTACAGCTGAAGTAATATAATCATGAAGCTCTCAATTGAGCAGCATTCTCCTACTGAAATCCATTCAACCTGTCATATAAGATATCATCTCAATAACCTACAAGAAAGTCAGTTTCAACTAGAGAACTGAGAATCAATGGTTCTAAATTATAGTCAAACCTTCACTCAAATCCTATTTTGATAAAAGTTCCTTTAGATACTAGAAAATGCTATTCATTATTTTCATCATGAGAACAAATTATTCTTTGTGGATGTCACAGAACACTGAATTGTGAACCAAAATCTTAACAGGACTTTCTCCGTAAATTGTAACCTGCTCTACCTGCAGTCTTCTTCGTGTAAGTATTTTCAATGTTCTACCACATCTCCTACCACTACTTTTCTTGTGAGTTAGCAGCAGGTTACTGTTATTGATTAGATTATATTTTCTGATTTATTCCCCCCCCCCCCAAAAAAAAAAAAAAGGATCTCCTAGCATACCCTGATATAGAACAATTATATATTCTAAATAATTTATCTAAGTAAAGGCCTTGGTTCATCACATTTCCCTTGAAATGCTTCCAAAAAATAAAGCTGGAAAAGGGCAATGATAGGCTTTTAATAACTAATGACTAAATATATATATATCAAAGTTGAGTACTTTCAAGCCACAAAGATCAAAGTGCAGAGATCAACTAAAAAAAGGTAATGTATCAAAAACAGCAGCACCTTTTCTAATCTCACACCCAATGTAGGAATTCCTATTAAAAAAGCAGCCCCAGTAAATATTCAGCTAACTCCTTCTAACCTCCAATCCTTACAATTCCTCCCAGGGCAAGAACTGTCCCAGGCAGCAGCCCTCCTTGGCTGGTCAGCTGCCTATCTAAAAGGTTTTGTATTGCCCGGCTGGTGTGGCTTAGCGGTGGAGCATCCACCTATGAACCAGGAGGTCAGGGTTCAATTCCCAGTAGGGGCACATGCCTAGGTTGCGGTCTTGATCCCCAGTAGAGGGCGTGCAGGAGGCAGCCAATCAATGTTTTACTCTTATCACTGATGTTTCTATCTTCCTTCCTTTCCTTCCTCTCTGAAATCAATAAAAATGTATTAAAAAGAAAAAAGGTTCTGTATTATGTCAACCTGAAATCTGCCTCCCAGTAGTCTACCTACTAGGACCAATGTTGCTTTGCTGAAGATACTTAAACAAGTCCCTTTCTACAGACTTTAGAAAATAGAACATCCAACATGCCTCTAATAGCCAACTTTTTCACTATATCTCTTCTACTTCTAATAGCATCATTCCAGAGGCTCTCTCTATTCAGTAGTGGAGATGGACATACTGCTTTGACACATTCTTGGTGTTAATACATGCATACTCCTGGTTTACACACTGAGACTTTCCCATTAAATCTAGTCCAACATTATACATTATTCTGTAAGATTGTTTAGTGATGTAAAGCTCAAAAGACATGACTAAAAGGCAATGTTTACCTGTATTTGAGCGTCTTCTAATACCAAAGTCCCAACTTGAGGTAATATCGACTGACTGGGCATATACATAGCCCTGAGTCTCACCATTGCTTCCCTGAATGTCTGACCCACTGTCTCCAGTCATTGAAGGAGGATGAATCTTCTCTAGGTCAACATCATGATCAATGAGAACCATCTCACACATTCCTGTATCATCACTGGTCACATGTGACTGTCGAATGTGAGCTAGAATGATAGTTGGATTGTCCAAGAAGGCCATCCTTTCTGTGGGCCAATTTCCTTAAAAGGCTATTTTCTCCTCTTCATATTGTTTCACAGGCTCACCTACCTAGAAACATGACGTACACAGCAATATTTAAGAATAAAGCAGAATAATTTTTCAAACAAATTCAATGTGTTAAAATGCTACCATAAAAATCAACATTTATTCCTGTACCTAGGAGCCTAAAAGGATTAAGTCTAAGCTGCAAGGAAATCCTTATAAGCACTAAGGCAGTGGTTCTCAACCTTCCTAATGCCGCGACCCTTTAATACAGTTCCTCATGTTGTGGTGACCCCCAGCCATAAAATTATTTTCGTTGCTACTTCATAACTGTAATGTTGCTACTGTTATGAATCATCATGTAAATATCTGATATGCAGGATGTATTTTCATTGTTACAAATTGAACATAATTAAAGCATAGTGATTAATCACAAAAACAATATGTAATTATATATGTGTTTTCCGATGGTCTTAGGCGACCCCTGTGAAAGGGTCGTCCGACCCCCAAAGGGGTCACGACCCACAGGTTGAGAACCACTGCACTAAGGGCTAAGGCTCTAGTCAATGTGGTCTCCATGGTATCAAGAGAGGATAGCTTGCTCTCTTGCAAAACAAATAACAGTAACTCCTTAGTCCACTCAACTACTGTTAAAACAATACACTTTCCTTTCTTTCTCCCTTTATTCCATGCAGTCTTCTCATCACTTTATGATAGAACAGAAGAACAAGTTGTATTTTCCTCAAACGATGTGCTGAAGTATTAAACTGCATTTCTTCAGTTTACATTCCCCCATCATATGGTTGTGAAGTATCTAATAGGGCATAGACAATGCTTTCTGAGTTACTAGGAAATTTATAAAAATGTACTACCAAAGTAATTTTGTTCAATAAATACATGTTCCTTTCTTCTGATTTAAGACAGTATTGTGCTTTTTAAAATAAAACTTATTAATCAAACTTGTCTCTTACTGGATTAATTTCTTATTTTAGAAACCTAATTATAAGAACTGCTTCCTGAACCCTATTAAAACTGCAATGCTGTTTATTTTGGGAACAAGATGGTACCTCTTCAGTTGAATGGGAATACACAACAAAGAAAATATTACAGAACCGTGGTTAAGAACCTAAGGCCCTATAGGCAAAACTGGGTTCAAATCCTGGCCCTATCACTTGCTAGCTATGTGATGTTGGTCAGAATAATGTTAACCTCTTTCGGCCTGTTTTCTTTATTTATAAAATGGGAATCTCATATAGAAGATAATGCAGATTAAGTGCTCAAAAGAGTCCCTGGCACATAACTAAATATTAGCTGCTATAATTTCAGCTTTCAATTTTTGTTTAAAGTAATCCTAAAAAACATCAACAATTTGCCCTTCTCTAGTAAATTCACAGCAGGTAAATCAAGTGTGTGCTTCCTTTGTGACAGAGGACTCTGCAGGTCATCTGCGTCACCTCCCTGTCCTCCAAAATCATTAGAAGAACAACAATGTGAAAGCTGGATTGAATTTGTTCCTTCAACAGTCCTAGAATGTATTTTTAGAAAGACCTATATAACACCAGATTTTCTTGTCATTTGTTTCTTCTAGAAATGGAACATGGGGGAAATCTAGTTAATAAATCATTATAGCTAACAGGTTTAAAAATGTTCTGTCTGGTAATATATTCTATTGGCATCATTTGGTGGTTCTTAAATAAAGATACTGAGATTAAGAAAAAGTTTAACTGAGGAGCATCTCTAACCAAGTGAATTACATTATCTCAGTTTTTTTCTAAATATATTCACTGAGTACTTATTTTACACAGGGGCTAATGGGAAATGCAAAGTTAAGTAAGGGATCCCTGAATCAAAATTTTATACCCTCACACACACCTAGTATGTCTCCGAATACAATGTGATTCCTCTAAGTGTCAAGTTTCTGAGGCAGTCAGTCTCAGAAATGTTAATGGCAGCCCACCATTTTAAATGTATTAATCAAAAAAATATTACAGAATTTGCCCTGGATGGTGTTTCTCAGTGGTTACAGCGCCGGCTTGCACACTGAAGGGTAGCAGATTTGATCCCAGACCCCAGTCAGGGCACATGCAGGAAGCAACCAATCAGTGTCTCTCTCTCCCTCTCCATCTCCCTCTCCTCACTCCCTTCTACTCAATGGAAAAAATGTCCTCGGGTGAGGATTAACAAAAAAACAAAAGAAAATATTACAGAACTAAAGGGGAAAATTTAAATTTCACTTATAAAAATACAAACTTCTGCCCGGCCAGTGTGGCTCAGTTGGTTGAACATCGGCCTATGAACCAGGAGGTCACGGTTCAATTCCCAGTAGGGGCTCATGCCTGGGTTGCGGCCTCGATCCCCTGAATGGGGCTTTGCAGGAGGCAGCCAATCAATGATTACTATCTCTCTCACCCTCTCCCTTCCTCTCTGAAATCAATAAAAATATATTTAAAAAGTAAATAAAGAAAAACTTCTTATATAGCCACAAAAAGATTTATACAACCACAGAATTACTTATAAATGAGAGTTTTGTTTTGTAACAGAATCATAGGATCACAGATCACCAGAGCTGCAAATATCCTCACTGCAATAACGATAACCGTCTACCCCATAAAAGGAAGGCAACTATTTGCCAGCAAAAGAGGAGCAGGTGCTTTTACCTTGATTTTGAATAGTTCTCCCCCGTAAAAACAAGGGCTTCAGTGAGGAATCACAGGTTCAATGGATGTTCTGGCACTGAAGAGTCAAATGGCAAAGGGCAAAGCAACAAAAGTATACTGAAGTACCCTCCATCTTTTCAAGGAAAATAGACTTGCTCCATCACTTCTTATGAAGAAGAGAGTTATGCGCAAACACTTGTGATGGCACACACCAACTCCCTAATTTTATCCTTATAGAACAAAGCCCTTAAAACACCCCAACATGAAAAGATATCTTCTCTATTAATACATTATAACTTCATACATGAGGAAACTGTATGACTCACTCAACAAATAATGCACTTAATACCACTTCTTTTTAAAAAAAATATTTTTATTGATTTTTTTTTTAAAGAGAGAGGAAGGGAGTGAGAGAGAAACATTGATTGGCTGCCTGCTGCATGCTTCCTGCCAGGGATCGAGCCTGCAACCTGGGCACATGCCCTGCCTGGGAATCGAACAGGCAACCTTTCAGTGCATAGGATAACACCCAACCAACATAGCCACACTGGCCAGGGCAATACTGGTTCTGGTAGGGAGCTCCCCACAGGATGCCTGGGAAATGTGCTTTCCACCTCCCCTGACAAGTACTTGAGGATTCAGACTGTAAGTCTCGAAGACAGGGGCTATAATACCATATCCCTTCTGGCAACAAAGGATCTTATACATTTCAGGAATTCAAAAAATGTTGCTGCCTGACTTCCAAGGACTATACAATTCTGTTGTAGAGATTAGACATATATGAACATGTCATGTGTAAGAGAGATTATAAAGAAAGGATTGCCTTTTTTCTATTAATACAAATACAAGAGCTCTTCAATGTGCTCTTCAAAATTGTCACCTTGGGACACTATCAACTTATTTCAACACTACTTTTTAAAACCAAATAATGTGTTTTAAATCACTTAAAGAGCAGCAAATTATCATTTGAAGGTAGATTTGATTTCTCACACGAAGATATTCTGAACACAGGTTAAAACAAGTTATTTTCTCTCATCAGTTGTAAAAAGATTAAAGATGTTTAAAATTAATGTTGGCTGGGATTCAGAAAAATGGGACTTTTTAAAGGGTAATTTAGATGGAAAAATTCTGTAGATAGAGATGGTGTTTGCACAACAATGTGAGTATACTTAATGGCACTGAACTGTATACTTGAAAATGGTTAAGATGGTAAATTTTATGTTATATATATTTTACCTCATTTTTAAATTTAAATTTTAAAAAAAGATCTATGAAGTGCCACATTAAACAAAATTAAATGTTTTCTTCTTGCTGTTTATAGCACTTTTCAAAGCTTTTAAACTACTAAGGTATCTTGTGAAGCTCCAAGAGTGGAGAATCTAGTAACACAACACATTCCAAACCCCAAACTTACCTGATCCCTAAACATTATTTTCCTCTATGAAAACTGTAATAAATCGATGTATAACAAAGTCTCACAGAACATCGTTTAGAAATGCTGCTCTACACTTTTACAAATGCTATTTCTTCGGGCCCTGAATGACTTTCCTGGATGCCACCAATCCTTGACTCTGAGATAGTTAGTCCTTTTTTTATACCTTTAGGCCATCGGATAAACAATAATTTCAGGCACCAGGAAGTCTGTTCCCCTAAGATGTCCTACCTTTCAAAGGTTCTCCCACTTTTTAACTTCAGGGTCCTCAAAACATATAGTTTTACCCAAACTGGAAGCAATAGAGACATCATGCAGAGTAGGAGGATGTTAAGAGATGTCCCAAAATAATATGACCATTTTTAATGTACGGGGTGGGTCTCCTTTTATACTTCATTCAACAAATATTTATCATTCATGCAACAAATATTTATTAAGTTCCAACTATGTGCTTAGTGTGGTTCTAGGTGCAATGTGGATGCTATTGCCACTTTGCATAACCATTTGTGTTCATTAACGATCATGTAACTTTCCTGTGGTACCTTGGCACATGCCCTATACAGAGGGGAAAGGAGAGAAAGATAGGGAGGGAGAGGGAAGGAGGGAAGGAGGGAAACATCAATCGGTTGCCTTCCCATACATGCCCTGACCAAGGATCAAACCCAAAACCTTTCAGTGTAAGAGGATGATGCTCCAACCAACTAAGCCACACTGGCCAGGACAACACAAATATATTTTTAATAATAACTTTACACACATACACCTTCCAAATTTTACTTCTAATAGCTTATAAAACAAACAAACAAACATGCCCTAGCTAGTTTGGCTCAATGGATAGAGCGTCAGCCTGCAGACTGAAGGGTCCCAGGTTCGATTCCTATGCCTGGGTTTCGAGCTTGATCCCCAGTAGGGGGGTGTGCAGGAGGCAGCCAATCAATGATTCTCTCTCATCTTTGATGTTTCTCTCTTTCCCTCTCCCTTCCTCTCTAAAATCAATATATTAAAAAAAAAAACAACAACAACAAAAACACACACAACATAAGGTACAACATAGTAAAAAAGTAGATGAGAAAAGTAGCAGAGGGGAAGTCACTCAGAATGAATCCATAAGCCAGTGCATGGCACAGATCGTGTACATTTCCTACAGGTAGACTACAGAATCTCTGAAGCAAATTTTACAGATGAAAATGCTGAAAGGTTAAGAAAACTGCCCAAAGCTAGGCAGCTAATAAGTACAAGAATCAAATCGAAGAGCTTGGGATCTTAACCACTATACAGCCTCTCTAAACAGAAGAACAAAGAATTACGATAGTTATAATAAACATGATTTTTAAATATCCTGACATTGAGCTCTTTGGGTTCTGGGGCCTGAGAGAAATTTCTTCCATGGGTCTTTATGAAAGATGTAAGACAGCGAATGTATTATGCAGTAAACTAGACCCTTACTTAGCCTCTCCTCCGCTAATGCAACAGAGAATTGTTGAAGAGCAAGATATAAACAGTGCATGCAATGACTGCTCAAATATAAAGGTCACAACATTTTACACACGAAAGGAACTTCAGAGATCATCTACTTGTTGACCTGAAACCACAGAGGGTGGGTGTCCTTTAAATTCTCAGTTAGGTCTAAGTACCTTTTTTTAAAAACCCTAGAGATTTATGAAACTTCAGCTACAAAGTCCATACCTAAAAATTCTGTTTCTTCTGTTTCTTTAAATAACTCCCATAAGCAAATGAACCCTAAGAACCTGAGATAGGCAGCAACATGGCTTAAAATGCTCAAGTTCAGCTAATGGCTAAAAGGAAATTTCCCTTCTTGAACTTTCAACACTCCAAACATTCACTTCTCTGCCAGGCAGACTTCAAGTCCCCTCACCTGCAATCTGTGAAAACTTGTCTAAATAAGCAACAGCCTGAGGCTTCTCAAAGGTCTGCAAACTCCCAATCAAAAATTACTGCTGCCCCATCAATGTGTCATATAAATGTTGGCATGTTAATTGTGTATTTATAAGATTGTTAATGGTTAGTTAATTTACCTCCCACACTATTATTGTACTTGAAATGATTTAACGTCTGCTGAGGGAGTTAACAACATGTAACAGCAGATGCGAGATTTTTTTTTTTTTTTTTTTACCTTTCCACACTGTACCCCCACTTCATGCTATTAGCATTAGGCAAGTTAAACATGATTCCTATACAAGATTCCTTAAAAATGTTATATAAGTACTCACATTTATTTTGCACAAACAGGAATGATCACAAGTTAGAAATACAAAATCCTTTTTATTATATGCAAAGTCTTCCATTTGTAAAAACCAACAGACCCTTTTTTAAACTAAGATTTCAACATTCTTTGATCTAGTTAAAGTTCTGAATTCATACCTCCTGGAATTTGAAAATAATTGAAATGACCATTAAAATAAAATGCACCTTATTGCTTTTAAATCTCTTTTTCTAACACTCTCCAATTTAACTCTAAATTAAATCTTCATTTATTTTTTAGACCAGCAAAAAAAAATTAAGCTTTTTTCCCCCCTAGGGGAATTAAAATCTCCTCTATGTAAAAATGTCTAATTTCATTACACAGTAAATAGTGAGATCCTATATCTGGAGTTTAATTTTTCCTTTCACATTTTTACTTCTATATTTTAACTAAAGGTACTTACTAGACTAAATCAAAACAACAGAAATGAAATGCTTGTATCTTCTTTTGAATAAGAGGTTCATTCACTACATCATTGCGAGGTAGGCACTGGGAATCCTACAAAAAATTATATAAACACTGGCCTGCATCCTCCAGAGACTGCTTTTACTGACATAAGAGCAACATAAGGCAATACATATTAACCACCAAATGAGACACAAGGACAGTATGTTTTCCAAGAAGCTTCAGGAAGGAAGAGGGTCTCATGTAAGGATGGCTAAGCTTTCATTAGGCAGAATCACAGAGAACGGCAATAGATGACATTTACTAAGCTTGTACTATCAGCTGTACTTTTCATGTAACAACATATTTTATCCTTACAACCACCACAAGATGTAGGTATTAATATTAGCTTCATTTTATAGATAAAATAAAATTAAGGTTTAAAGGCATTAAGTAACTTGCTCAAGGTCACATGGTAGATTTTTAAAAGGCCAGTCTTTGCAGCTTCTCCCAGCAAGACTCACACTGTGATCTACTTTGAGCAACAGAACGTAATGGAATATGGGACTTCTGAGCCTTGATTTCAGGAAAACTTGCCGCTTCTGCTGTTGCCTTCTTTGGAATAATATATTCATCATGGGAAGAAGCCTGGGATAAAAGACTACATGGAGAAGCGTGGGTGTCAACTCAGCTTTCCTGCTGATTTGTATTAGTTCACACAAACACTCCATCCATGCTTTTGTTCCGGCCCTCCGTCCAGTTTAAGAACCCACTGTGGCCCTTGAGTCAAAAAGTTTGCCCACCCCTGCACTAGACCCTATCAACCTACCAGAGCAAGTCTTGTATCCTAACAAATGCTTCCTTTAGGTAAAGGGACACTGACCCTTGATTTTTCTTTTCTTGTACCACTAACCTCCACCTGAAATGTCTCTGAATCTTACCATGTGCCAAGATACAGTTAAAGGGAGCCTGGTACAAGTACAGGGCTTCTCAAACTCTCCACGAACACACCTGAAGGGCAGAGGAGAGTGGGCATAAGTCAAGGTATGACAGAACGGAGGGAGAGCCACCTAGAGCACCATGCTACAAAAATTTATTTTTAGAATTCACTCATATTTGCATCCTCTCCTGTAATATACTACACCTAGAAAGAAGTGCTTTAGTTTTGAACTAAACTATAGAGCGCCATGCTTACCCTGCAGCTTCTAAAACCTCCTGGCACATATTGGGATTCTTATAACCCCAGTTTGAACAGCAAGGTCTAGAGGAAAAACATAGACTTTGGTGTCAGAAATATCTAATTTTGTGAAGATAAAATGGACAACTCAAGACCTAATTTTTGCTCAAAAGATACTTCCTATGACAAGTATGAAGAACAACTGTAATTATTAACAGCAAACTGTATATAAAGTTCTAAACACAAGTTAGACTAAAATATTATTATGCAACTGTTATAAAATAATCTATATTTTCAAAGTGTTTTGAAATACTGTATATTAACAGCAGTAGCTGTGAAACTTCAGACAACCTAACCACCCACCACTCCCAAAACTCCTACAATAACCGTGGAGAAAAAGGACTTAGGCACACATGTACTTTCTACAACTTTAACAGTTAATACCAAATATAATCAAAAGGAGCTTAACTACTACCTCAGTGGGGATGGTGCTCCTAATATTGCTGTAAACTTAACCTCCTTAACTGGAAAAAGTAGAAAAGGTACTTATAATGCAAATTACAAACATTACAGTCAAATCATGCACTGGAGTGAAAATAGATGGAAATCGTGTTTTTTAATCACCCCTCCTCCTACCCAAAGAATGTTAGACACACTTGACGGAAATGCTGCTCACCAAGTAAAGGTTACTCTGAAATACTTCAAATTCCATAAGCACTCAGGATTGCAAAAACTGTGGGAAGAGAATGTTCCAAGCACAGACTAACAGACAGAAGGCACAAATGGAATAAACCCTGACACATGATGACTACCTAAGGAAGTCTAATCTGAAAACTGAATATATTTGTTCTCAAGTCATTGAACAAGGTTCAGTTTCTGAAATATGTTCAAAGTAACATATTTTGTAAGTCTAAAGTATAAATAATAGGGATTTGTTGTTAAAGATAACTAAATAATTTCCTTCACCTAGTTTAGATACACAGGATGGGCAAAGTAGATTTACAGTTGTGAGTGTGTGAAACATGGTTTACTCTTGTATGATTATTTATTAACTAGAGGCCCGATGCATCTGCCCAATGGTCATTCCGGAAGGTCATTCTGCTGTCCGGTCTAATTAGCATACTAGCTCTTTATTATATAGGATTATTGTATTCTTTTCCATATGAACAACTGTAAACCCACCTTTGCCCCATCCTGTATAAATCTCTATCACATTTCAAATTTAAGTTTTTACATATTTTACTTTTTTATACCAACAATTTTATTTCTTATCATGTGTTTTTGCCTAAGCTTACGAGAATACAAGTTATAACAAATCAAAATTTATATTATAATTTTGCGGAGGTGATCACCCTTTTAATTCTGTTCATATTTTAACAAGGCAACTTTAACCCAGTGATCAAAGCTTCATTAGCTTGTAAACAAACTGTTTCTCAGGTAAACTGAATTGCACCACATCAGAAACTTAAGCAAATAAATAAATACAAAAAAGGCAGGGAATATAAATTAGGGCAGACAAATCTGTATCTAGCCTCATGCCGGTAAAGAGCATTCTATCAATATAGTGAAATGCTAATCTCCTAATTAACAACCTAATTAGGTAATTATGGCTTTGCAGAGGGATGCCGAAATGAAATATGACAACATGGTCACCTCTTTATATGGCACCTGTGGGCCTTTTCAGCTGTCATTGCAAAGAGTGCAATATCAATTTGAACAGATGACAAAGTGCTGTCATTTTTCATTCTGGTAATATACAGAATGCTTTGGACAGAAGCAGTTTACAAAAAGAAACATCTTGCCGGGTATTTTCCTAATTTAAATATGCTCAAATATTTTGTCAAATTTTTGCACACTTTTTATATTGCATATAGAATTACCATGCACATTTTTTAAAAAACTTAACTGGCCATCATGCTTAACTGTGCTTGCTGAAACTATTGCAATTTCAGTGATGAAGTATATGAAAATTAGAAAAGGGTAAAAGGCACCAATACATTATGACTTTTAATATTTATGCATTTTTCATATCACAGAAAAATTAAAATCCATACTTTGATCTTTAATTTTTTTCTTACAAAAATGGGAATTTACACAATTTTCTATAACAAAGAAGCACTTCCCAATATCTAAGCATTCAATCCACAAAAAAGCTCCATTCAAGGGTGGGAAAAGTACAATTCTTTGTATGGAAAACAGAACAATAATTAATAAATAATAATACAAGAATAAACTCTGTACTCACAACTGTAAGCCTACTTTTGCCTACTCTGTACATATCAATGCCCAGCCTCACAGATATGAGAGTGCACTCTCTTTGAAACACAGACCTTGCCGGATGGCATGGCTCAGTGGATGAGCATCGACCTATGAACCAGGAGGTCACTGTTCCATTCCCAGTAAGGCCATATGCTCTGGTTGCGGGCTGGGTCCCCAGTGTGGGGTGTGCAGGAGGCAGCCAATCAATGATTCTCTCTCATTATTGATGTTTTCATCTCTCTCCCCTCTCCCTTCCTCTCTGAAATCAATAAAAATATGAAAAAGAAATATGCAATACGTTCATCAATAAAGAATTTAAATTAAAAAAAGAAAAGAAGGATGTGTCACAGGACTACTCACTACCCACTGGCCATTAAAGAGGTGATGGTAGGTAGACTGGGACACTGGTACATTCCAACATGAATACAACTCTTCTTCCATAATATGGTCTTAAATAGGATTTTGTGGGAAGGACAGGAAGGCTAGCTGGGAAACCTCAACATCATTTATGTCAAGAAACATGAAACTAAATTCTAACAACAGAGGTGAAAACTAACTTGAAAATACAATCCATTTATAACTCCAAATCATTTGCATGAATGAAAACTTTTTTTGTCAAAATGATATTCACTGGCTCTATATTAATACCAAGTTTAAAAGATTTTTTTATTAAAAAGTTATGTTTATCAGAGAACATTTTAGAAAACAAAAATGCATAAAGACCTATCCTCCTACCACCTATTTCTTTTCCTTCTTACGACATAACTGGGATCATACTTTATATAGTTTTATATACTTTTTTCACTTCATGTTACATGATAAGCACATTAATGTCATTAATATTCTTCTAAAACATTTAAAATGACTGCACAATATTCCCATCCTATGGCTTTTCCATAATTTCTCTAAACCCTTTGTTAAATACTAAAGTTGATTCTAATTTTTACTATTATAAGTACTGCTACAATGAACATATCTGAACACGAATATTTCCTACATCTCTATTTCTTTAGCAACAGTTCCTAGAAGTGGAATTGCTCAAAAGGCATGTTTGACGTATTTTAAGGCTTGTGATAAATACTGCCAAAATTCTTTCCAGAAAACTTTTACCAACTTATATTCCCCCCAGCAATATATGAATGACCACCATATCTCACCACCAACCTCTGCCAGCAATGAGTATTTATTAGAGTGCTATTAAATCTTTAAACTTCAGATCATAAGATTATACCTGTAACCAAACATTCTCAACATAATCAATAACAACTTTCTGTAGGAATTAAGTTAAAATGAGTAAGGAGGGCCATGGTTGATGATGGTCCCAAAACAAGGGCCAGTTCCAATATTCAAATCTAGAACAGCATGGAATAGTGACAAAAGCACTGTAATTAGAGGAAAAATCAAGATTCAAATCCTACCATTGCCATTTTAGTAGCTCTCTACCTTGAACCACTTTACTTCTCTAAGCTTCAGTTTCAGCATTTGTAAGATGGGAATGAGAACATAATATGCTTTTGTTCTAACACTTCAACAGGTAGTCACGGGCACACACAGAAAAAAAAGTAATATATGAAACTGAAGGTATTTATTGTTATTTAACAGATCAAATCATTTAATAGCCTAAAAACAATACTGAAACCCTTTTCTCGATAGTGCACAGTTGGTAAGTGTGCTAAGTAATGCACAACGCACAACTAGAAATTAGACTAATTTCATAATCCAGACATGAAAATGAAAAGTCTCACTCCTTCATAATCACTCCATAGAATCATTTGTTACATTATACTAACATCGGAATGTCTTGGGCCCCTGAAAGATGGTACCTGCATCTCTCCATAAGTTATTTCAGTTAATCCTCACAAGTAGTATATGAGATTGGCATTCTTGTCCTCATTTTGCAGATTGTGATGGTCACAGTTTATAACTGACAAAGCCAGTATTCAAATACAGGTAAATGTGACTTCAAGATTCAAGCCTGCACCTCAGTTCTTTGTTAGTCTCTTTTATAACAGCAACTAAAATTCAGATTAAAAATTTACTTTGTTTTAAAAAGAAAACCACTCCTTCAAATAATTTTCTACCAATTTTTCTGCTGAAGCAGTACTTATCCTATATAATAAAAGGCTAATATGCAAATAGACTGAATGGTGGAACAACCGGAACAACCAAACAACCGGTCACTATCACGTGCGCTGGCCACTGGGGGCGTGCGGGGAACGTGCTGGACGTCGGCTGTGGCAGGATGGTAGAACAAGTGAGCGGGGGCGCCAGACCAAGGTGGGCGCCGGTTGCTGTCATTGGGGCGAGCCTCTGGTGGTTACTGAAAATTCTTTGCTCCTGTGTGCCGCGGTCTGGCCCGGTGCTTGCACCACCAGCCCTGCTCACACCCGCTGCTGGCGCTGGAGCTGCAGCTCACACCCACTGCCAGCCCCTGCACTGCTCTCCCCCACAGCCGATGCCAGAGCCGCCACTCATACCCACTGCCAGTGCCTGGCGCCGGTCCTGATCGCTCAGTGCCATCAGCGGGTGCGAGCAGTGGCTGCTGGCTGTGATCACCCCTGAGGGCTTTTCCACCTCCCCCTGCTCCTGAGGGGTGATTGGGGCAGCAGCTGCCGCTCGCACCCGCTGCTGGCGCCATCTGCAGATGCAAGCGGGGCCGGCGCCATTAGCGGGTGAGAGCAGCGGCGGGAGCGGAAGGTTACTGAAAATTCTTTGCTCCTGTGTGCCGCGGTCTGGCCCGGTGCTTGCACCACCAGCCCTGCTCACACCCGCTGCTGGCGCTGGAGCTGCAGCTCACACCCACTGCCAGCCCCTGCACTGCTCTCCCCCACAGCCGATGCCAGAGCCGCCACTCATACCCACTGCCAGTGCCTGGCGCCGGTCCTGATCGCTCAGTGCCATCAGCGGGTGCGAGCAGTGGCTGCTGGCTGTGATCACCCCTGAGGGCTTTTCCACCTCCCCCTGCTCCTGAGGGGTGATTGGGGCAGCAGCTGCCGCTCGCACCCGCTGCTGGCGCCATCTGCAGATGCAAGCGGGGCCGGCGCCATTAGCGGGTGAGAGCAGCGGCGGGAGCGGAACTGCCAGCAGACAGAGGACCAGGGGCCAGGGCGGGAGGGGCCGGGCGGGGGCGCGGAGGTTGGGTCAAGACCTGCCCCTGTGCCTGCCACAGCCTCGCAGCCCACAATTCCTTTCAAGGTGCACGAATTCGTGCACTGGGCCCCTAGTTTATAATAATATACCTTAAAATGAATCTATAGGGAACTAAGAAAAATGTTACATCGTTTTGAATGTGTAAAATTCAGTCCATTTTGTCTGCATCAATAATAAAAGCATATTCAAAAAAGTGTACTCAAGTATAGGATATGAATTTAACACTGCATGTATGTATGGGTAAATGTGACATAATATTCAATTTATTTCACAAGTGATTACTATAATTTAATTCCAATACTTATTCTAATACCTTCTTGCTGTTTCCAGAATTTAAGTTTTGTTTTGTAAAATGTTTCTCCCATTTTTCTCACTTTCAATTACTTAAAACTGTTTCCTTCTTTGGGTCCAAATTTTGTGTTTCCTATATTAAATCTATCTTCCCAATATATCTAGACTGCTGCCAACACAAGTTAATAAATTCTGAATGACTGCTCAGGATTTATTTTCTTCATTTTTATATTCCATGTTATGTCCTTATACAATAGAGTATGAATGAAAACAAGTATCTAGAAGACCAATATTTTTTCCAATTTTCACCTGGTGGAAGCTGGGTATTAAAATAAAAATAAATTAAACTCTTGGGCTGGGAACTCCCTGACCATATTTCTCTCACTATGCTGGGTGTCTCTATGCCCCCTTTCAATCTTGTGTATATATAGTCAACAAAGCACTGTATGCATTTGGGGAGCACCTGGCCTGTCAAGGTCCTTTCCCAGAAGTAATGAACAAAGAAGAGGGGGAAGAGCTGAGCAGTAGCTCCCTACCTGCCAAGAGAGGAGGAACAGCACTTCAGATTTGAACCATTCTCTACTGGGTCTACCAGTAATCAGCTGTGTAACTTTAAGCGTGTCAATTAGAATCAGAAAGCTTGGCATCCTGAAAAGATTTCAGCAAGACTTGATTTGAGCTCCTCATTATCATCCAGATGGGAAAAAGATACAAAAATTTCTAAGTGGCTCAACCAAAATCAAAAGGCTGTCAGCAGCATAGCTACAGTCAGACCTCAAGCCCCTCTCAATCAAGTGCACTTTCGACTAAACTGTCTTTCACTGGGAGCCAATTTTTTAATCTCAAGAGGTTATGTTTACCCCCTATGTTCACTCCATGGCACTGTACAGAGGACCAACAGAGGCAAGAGATTTTATAGCATTTAAAGTGCTAAAAGAATTCCAAGGTCATTTCCTCATCAAGCCCCATCCCTCCTGAAATTTAGTCTGATTATATAATAAAAGCATTCACCCTGCCACTTCCCCAAAGACATCAGTATGAGTCAATTATAAAACCCTCTCACTCTGGCAATTTACCAGTACACGTCTATCAGTAATCTCGACTTGAGTTGTACCTCCTGCTTTGAACAGTGAATACCAAAATTTCAGCGATAAAGTACATCAGAGTTCACAATCAGACAGCCTAGGACTGTACACAGCACACAAATGTGCTTTAGTCCACACAGCAATTTTTTAAACGTCAATTTTTAAAAATGAAATACATACATTAAACCCCAGCCCTGGCTGGGTAGCTCAGCTGGTTAGAGCATCAAGCTACTACACCAAGGTTGCAGATTCAATCTCCAGTCAGAACACATACAAAAATCAACCAATGAATGCATAAATAAGTGGAAAAACAAATAGATGTTTCTCTCTCTCTCTCTCTCTCTCTCTCTCTCTAAATCTATCTATCTCTCTCTCTTGCCCTCTCTCTCCCTAAAATAAAAATAAATTTTTTAAAAAAAAATACATTAAAACCCAGATTTCCAGCATCTCTTCTTTTGTTGTTGTTAATTTTCACCTAAGGATATTTTCCCCATTGCTTTTCAGAGAGACTCGAAGGGAGGGAGAGAAGGGGGGGAGAGGGGAAGAGAGAGAAGGAGAAATGGGGAGAGAGAGGGAGAGTGACATTGATGTGAGACACAAGGATTAGTTGCCTCCCCTGGGGGGAGGTGGGGGGAGGAAGTAAGGGGGGTAGTAAACTGGCAACCAACCGCTATCTTCAGACTGGACATATGCCCTCCAGTTCATCAAGGTCTGTCCTACTCTCTATATTACATCATGGGCATTTGAGTTGGAGACCCCTGAGGCAGATGCTCAAAAGAAAACTAACTTAATAAATATCTGTTCACTCTTTTGGAAAGTCCAATTTTTTTTCTGGCATTATCACTCACTAACTAGGTGACTCTTGGGTCCCCTACTTAATCACTAAGCTTCATCACCTATCTCAGAGAATCATGAAGACTGAAGGAAATGAAGTATAGGAAAAACATTTAACAACGACCAGAACTTACTGTAAGTGCTCAATTATTTTAAATTTAACACAAGTTGAAATGAGCTAACTTTTATGTCAAAACGTCTCAAAAACTTAAAACCCACAGGAAACTCAAGGTCAGAGAACCTACTATGGGAAAAAAACATCATGTGACAGAATTCCTTGTCATATAATTGGCATCTATTGCTGTGTTCTTAACAATAAGGCCTATATATCAGAATAACAGATTTCCAGCAAATTCTCAGCCTGACCCTTTAGAGATCCCCTGAAGTACAACAGTTTCTAAAGTCCTCAGTTATGAGTCAACTGGCAAAGCAAACCCCCCACGAAAAAAAAATATATTTAACATCACCGAGGAGGCAATGAGCTGCTTGAGTGCAGGGGCCACATTCAGTCCTCAACATCCCTACTGCCCAGCACAGTGACCAGCTCACTGAAACAGCTCAAGGGCTAGCTCTTCTCTGAAGCCTCCTCAGAGGGTCCCCGTCCACACCACAAAGCAGAGTGGAGATTCCAAAGTCTAACAGATAATCCCCTCCACTCACAGCCCCAACAGCTGCATAAACTCATGGAATTTATTTAATCTCTCTGTGCTCTAGTTTGCTCATCTGTAACATGTACACTGTCCAGTACAGAAATAAATGAGAAAATACTTTTAACACAATGTTGGCACACAGTAAGTGCTCGTTAGCTATCATTATTAGCGTTCCCTCTTTTGTCCTTCGTATCCTCGGGGATTGCCATCTTTGTACCTCAAGTACTTTACTACAGTTCACCAGCACACAAATATGTCTCCCCCACTAGAATGTCAACAACCTCAGAGTAGGGACCTGGTTTTATTCCTCTTTGCATTCCCAGGGTCTAACATTTTCCCTGTTATGAAATCACAGATCCTCAAAGTATTTATTAACTAGGAAAGTTATAAGAAGAAACTGGAATTTACTTCTCTTGCCTAACACTCAATCCCTCACTGACACTGACCCCTAGTGACCCGCCAACTTTACCTTCCAGTATCCCCACACTAAAAAGAAGCAATGGCTTGCTTTATTAAGACTGGTCTACTCACCACTCTAAAACCATACCAGTCATTGCACCTTTGCATCTTATAGTTATCATTTCAGAGACCTTACCATGTGTCAGGCCTTTTATCCACATTAGCTTATTACATATTCACAATACTCCAGGAGGTCCATATTATCCCCCTATCCCAGTGGTCGGCAAACCGCAGCTCTCGAGCCACATGCGGCTCTTTGGCCCCTTGAGTGTGGCTCTTCCACAAAATACCACGTGCAGGCGCGCACGTACAGGGAATGTTGTGGAGTGAAAGATGTAGTGTCGAGGATTGAGAAAGGTAGGTTGAGATGGTTTGGACATATAGAGAGGATGAACGAAATGAGATAGACGAAACAAGTATACAAGACCAGTGTGGATGGGAGAGTTGGAAGGGGTCGATCTCAGCGAACGTACCTCAATCAGACTGAGGATGTTTTTAGCAAAGGCCAGCTTAGGAGTACCCTAATTAAGTTAATAACAATGTCCCTACCTATATAGTTTAAGTTTAAAAAATTTGGCTCTCAAAAGAAATTTCAATCGTTGTACTGTTGATATTTGGCTCTGTTGACTAATGAGTTTGCCGACCACTGCCCTATCCCAGCCCATACTTGAGGAAAATAATGCTTAGAAGTAAGAAACTTGCCAAAGGTCACATATCTAGCCAGAGGAGGAACCAGGAATGGAATCCAGAGGTCACGGTTATTCTCTACACAATGCCTTCCTTTCTCATATTCAAAGCTGAGCTGACCCACCTTCTACCTTCTTGCTTTGAAAGATCATGGTCTTCCCTTCATTTAAAAGAACATCTATACCATTAATTTTGACACTCATATTTCTTTCTCTTGTATACTTGTTTCAATATGTACTTGATATCAAGAGCTATGGTGTGAGAAAGAAGGCAAAACACATAATGGAAAAAGCACAGATGTAGGCATCAGACAGACCTGGGTTTGAATCCTGGCTCTGTCTTGTACCAGCTGTGTAACTTATCCTGAGTCTTCCTAATCTGTAAATTGAGATTAAAATGATTAAACAAGAGAAACCTATATGTAATACCCAGTACACAGTAAATAATAAAGCTTAGTTAACCCCACATAATGAAGCATTACCTGGCTACAGCACACTCCTCAAAAACAAATGACCCAACCCCAGTTCTATGTTATCACTGTATCACAGAAAGAACTCTCACACAGTGTACTTATCACTCTGTGTTGGAATTATTCCCTTATCTCTCTCACTAAATTAAGCTCCTTGCTACTTACCTCTACATTGTCTGGCATGGTAACTGGTATCTATCCATGCTCAGTAAATGCTTGCTAAGTAAAATAATTACAGATTCGATGAGTGTTTATAGCAGTGGTTCTCAACCTTCCTAATGCCGCGGCCCTTTAATACAGTTCCTCATGTTGTGGTGACCCCCAACCATAAAATTATTTTCGTTGCTACTTCATAACTGTAATGTTGCTACTGTTATGAATCGTAATGTAAATTTCTGATATGCAGGATGTATTTTCATTGTTACAAATTGAACATCATTAAAGCATAGTGATTAATCACAAAAACAATATGTAATTATATATGTGTTTTCCGATGGTCTTAGGCAACCCCTGTGAAAGGGTCGTTCGACCCCCCCCACAAACGGGTCGCGACCCACAGGTTGAGAACCGCTGGTTTATAGGATTCTAGAAAAGAAATAATTTCCAGCTGGGATTGTACTGAATTGGTTGAGGGAGGCCAATTTCAGCTGGGCCCTGGGTAACACCTCAGTAGCTCGCCAACAGGAAAGGAGAAACCTTCTAGGCAGGGAGAATGTCCTACAGAACACACGGGACAAAGAAAAGAACAAATATGACTGGAGGCCCTACTTGAGTAAAGGATCAGAGTAGAGTAATTTAGGAAGGGGGCCTTTTCAAGCATAGCTGGAACTTTAGCCAGGCACCAGGTCAGGGGGTGTAGAGGGATGTAAGTTCAGTATGGGATCACAGTAGCTGAAGGTAGGTATGAGCACAAAGCTGAATGGAAAGGGGGCCACCAGCACGCCTCATGGCTCCAGCAAGCTTGCAAAGTGTGTAAACCAAAAAAATGGAAAACAATGATCAAGGCTTCATCAAGAACTCTTTCGGCATTTATTGAGCATCTCATGTGGGCTCATTGTATATGAAGAATAAAAGATGGTGTCTCGCCCTAACTGGTTTGGCTCAATGGATAGAGCATCGGCCTGGGGACTCAAGGGTCCCAGGTTCGATCCCGATCAAGGGCATGTACCTTGGTTGCAGGCACATACCCAATAGGGAGTGTGCAGGAGGCAGCTGATCGATGTTTCTCTCTTGTCGATGTTTTTAACTCTCTATCCCTCTCCCTTCCTCTCTGTAAGAAATCAATAAAATATATTTAAAAAAAAAAAAGATGGTGTCTCCTCTTCCTCCTCTAGTGGGTTTTTAAATTAGGAATCCACCCCTTCTGCTTGTCAAAACAGAATGAGCATGTTGGTTTGTTTGAACTAATGTTTATAATAAACACTTGTCTCCACTTGACCATTCACACCTGGGGAAGTTTTGAACTTGGCTGGTTTTGATTTACAACATGATGCTTTGCACGGTGCCAGATACTGTCATAGGCTTCAAAAACAACTTGCGATCATTCAGGATGAAATTCTAACCAATTTCTGAGTCGACTTTTTGGGCTCACGTTAAAGTAATACTCTTGTTGAAACTATAATCATTTTTTTCTACTTTAAACAGATTTAGAATACTCTTTGTCACTCCCCAAACGAAAAAGCTGAATCAAAGTTACAGCAGCACTCCACCAAGAAAAAGAAAAAGTTCTGCAAGGCCATTTACCGCTTTGTGGCAATAGGGGGAGGAGGCGCGAGGAACCGGAGGCCACGCAGGCAATGCTTTAAAAACTTTGATTTTCACATTGTGACGATTAGAACACCTAAATGTGGGGCCGGCAACTGCCAGAGCCAATAGCATCCTCCTCCCTCCTCTCACTCCTCCCCAACACTACCAGACCCACTAGCTTCTCCTCCCCCAAGTCACACACCCAGCTAACTAGCTGTCAGACTCACAGCAGCCTCCGGTTCTGGAAAGGGCCAGGAAACGGACGCTCATGGGAGAGAGACCTGAGCAAGGAGGGCCAGGCAAGCTGCCTGCCGGGCACCGCCGGGCGCGGAGGAGTGAGGAGCCGCTAGGCTCTCCAGATGGCTGGCAGGAGAGCGAGCGAGTAAGCTAGCGGCTGGGGCAACCTTTACCTGAAAGTGCTGCCACGCTACCGGCCGGGGCGGCCCGGGACACGTTCCTGGGGGGAGGGCCCGGCTCCTCGGTGCCTCTCGGCCCCAGCCCCGAACTCTCGGAA